GATGCCATCGCGGCGCGGCGCGGCGAGGAGCGGCGTGCGCGCCGACGCCATCGATGGGGCTGCCTCGACGATTGGGCTGCCGTCCGAACCTTTCCAGCTGTGACGCAATGCTACTTATTTCTAAACAGCATCTTCGACTCGAAGCAGAGCAATTTGCCGACGCTGCCCCGCGCGCGTGAAAAAGAGCCATGGCGTGGAATGCCAAGCTGCGAAGCGGCCCCGCAAAAACACCGCCGATGTGGCGTCTCCTCGCCCTGGCGCTGCTGCCCACGACGTCGCCCTTCCCGTCGTCCGTGGGCTGCGGCGAGGCGCTGGAGGTGGGCCAGTTCTGGATGAGTTCCTATTCCGTCGCGTCGTCGCTGGCCATCGAGGTCACGGACGCGTCCGGCGGCGCCGTCGCCTGCGGCGGGACCGTCGCCGAGGGCGAGGCGCTGCGCGTCGCCGTCGGCGGCGTCGGCTCGGCGTCGTTCAACATCGGCATCGCGGGCGCGACGTTCGAGAGCGGGAGCTGTGGGAACGCGCGGTCCTACGATTCGGAGGCCGACCTCGTCGCGCCGGCCGCGGGCGCGTCCGTGACGCTCGTCGCGGGCCACGCCAGTGGCTACGGCACGGTCTACATCACCGAGAGCTGCGTCCTCACGTCCAGCGCCGCCGCGGCGCCGTCGCCCGCGCCGTCGCCCGCGCCGGCGCCCGCGCCGACGGCCGCGCCCGCGCCCGCGCCGACGCCGCGGCCGACGCCCGCGCCGTCCGTGGCGCCGGGCAACCCGACGGCGGCGCCGCTGGCGCCGACGCCCGCGCCGACGGCGTCGCCGACGTCGCCCGCGCCGAGCCCTCCCGCGCCGACCGGGGTCGCGGCGACGCTCGCGGCGTCGATGACCCTCGACGGCGTCGACGTCGACGAGTTCGGCGACGACGAGGCCGCGGCCTTCGAGGCGAGCGTCGCGGACGCGCTCGGCCTGCCCGCGGACGACGTCGGCGTCGTCGGCGTCGCCGCGGCCGCCGCGCGGCGGCGGCGGCGGCGCCGCCTCGACGACGCTTCCGGCGTCGCCGTCGACTC